CTTGTCGCCATCTACCATCTAAATAGGGAATCAAATAAGTAGCAACACGTCATGTATTACTGGAAACTGAGCCTTACGTACCCGTGGATTTTCATAAGTCCCACCACTAACTTCAAGAAAGTCAATCCCGGCGTCGACAAGGAGCCTAATCTGGGTTATTGTATCCTCGAGATTCGCTGCGCTGTGGTCAGCCGAGTTTAGTTTAACGCCGATGCAGAAAGTTGCCGGCACGGCTTCTCGGCATCCTTTCAGGATATCAAGGAGGAGTTTCGCGCGGTTCTCTGCTGAGCCTCCGTACACATCAGTTCGGAGATTGGTCTGTTCCGAGAGTTAGTGATAAGTGGCTCTGTATAGCGTATTCAATTGAATGTACCTTGGGATTTATGAACTGGTCTAGTATTGACATAAGATGGCTTTGTTAGTATACCTCTTCCACCCCATCCCGATCAAGTAGATATGCATGCAAGGTGAAACTCACCTAGAAGATATCCATGCGCTGCATGCAACTCAATACCCGAAAACCCACTCTCGGCTACGAAACGCGCAGAATCCACAAACAGACGAATCACAGTATTTATGTCTTTCTGGGTCATCTCTCTCGGCCTAGGAAATGCCAGAGAGGTAATAACGGAATCCAGAAAGTTATTACCAATACTCAGCGGAATCGCGCTTGGTGCAATTGTCGGAGCAAAAAGTCCTCTGCGCCCAGCTCCACGGAGCGATTGTCTTCCCGGGTGGGCGAGCTGCACAATTGTAGGGGTGCCATGCTTCTGGCTTGCTGCGGCGTATGCTTTCCATAATTTGGAACTCTTGGTTTCATAGTCAGTTTGCACGGCAGGGTCTTTGAAGTTTCCGAGGTGGTCAACGTCGACTTGAACGTTTCCTGTAAAAATCAGAATTATGATTGGTTGGATACGTAAAGTAACAGACAACGAACCTGTCATGATCATTCCCCATCCTCCATCGCTCCACCTGTTGTAGGCCAGGTTAAATTTCTCATTCGGGTTGCTGTCTGACGTCGCTAGGTTTTCGGCCATGGCCGCCTGAATGATTGTAAGCAATGTCTTATCTATAAGTTCAATTTGGCGCATACTTTGGACAAGCGATTGGGAAAGACTAAGCCACAGGGTAGCTTGACTGCATCGTTTAATAGAGACGGCATTTTAGTTGAGAGGTTGATGAGAATAGGCAATTGATACCGGAGGTAAATGAAACTTTTAGGGGGCATTACAGGGTATGTAATTTACTTTTTAACCAGGCGCATTTGAAACACTGTAGCCCAATATCCTAGCGATAATCCCCGGGTAGATTAGTGATCGGACCGATTGGATACCCGATACAAACGGAGCAACAATTCAACGGCTTGATTTGAATGGATGAACTGAGTACGCCGACCCGGGAACTACTCCTAATTTCCGAGCTGAGTTTGAAGTTTAATTAACCCGACGCTAAAGATTTCAAGGGGCTACTTCACTGTAAGGCAGCTGAAGATCCTCGGTAACAAGCTTGGTAATCGACCTCGCTACCGCCACCAACACAACTAAGGAACATACGGATTCCGCTGAGATTTCGAACGGTTGCTCCTTTATTTACTTTAGTGGATTTCACTAAGTCCATCGCAGATAAACTTTTCTTTTCGTAGACAGTTTAGAATGTCCATTCAATTCGACCTCCATGTAATTGGGACTTCGTAGCCTGTTGGGATATATTCTTCTGTCAACCGAGGGATAACATCCCTTGCTTGGTGTACACATTCTTGCGCGGAGCTGCGATTTCGGTGTTGTGACTTCCCAGCTTCGGCACAGGGAATTAAGGGGTATCTTGGTACATGACCTGACTTCAGATACAGATCTACTATACATGAATCAGTTGACTTTTTGCTTTGGAAGCATACATACTGTCGACTTAACTGCGTACACGGTACCTAGCTGGTCATACCAACATAGCCTTACAGAAGAATAGTGATCTAGTATAAAAATAACATCACCAAGCCAAGGTTTCACTTGCAGCAATTCAGGATGACAATCGTACACACGTTGAGTCGGCAAAGCGCATATGGGCACTGATTCCTATGTGATGCTAGAGGGAATTTAGCACTCTGTATGGAGTACAGTTCTCTAGTTACTCAGACTCTACCGTTTCGTGAGTGAGAAACACCCACAAAGACCTCCTTAAACCCGGCTCTGTTGTATCACAATGTCACGGCTCAATTCAGGCAAACCAGCATAAAGTTGTTGTCATACAACTCCCTTCTGAAAAATAGTCCACATCTTTCTTGATTAATACAGATGTAAACGGTAAATTGACTACTTGTAACAGAGGCATCGGATCATCTCAAATTGTGACGTCGGTGTTCTTACTCAACAAGATGTCACGAGGCTGAAGGGCCTCTACTTCAAATCTTCTTTTCATACCAACCTCTAATTTATAGACTATGAGCTGGACAGCTCTGAATGTTGCTGCTCAATCTTGACCAGCAGACTCTGCAACCTCAGATGTCGTAGGCCGCGGGGCTTTCATGAAAAACGAAAATGTAGCGATATGCAGAAAAGCTAAGGTAGTTCAATTTCATTAAGACCAAGAAAATGATTTATGGTGAAAGCTAGTAATCTAGCAGCAAAAACCTGCATCAACCCCGTCCTCCGAGTGATTGTATTGACTAGCATCATCGCACACGACCTGTGTCCTCGGTCCTCGATATGTAGGCACCCGCTGCCGAGTCGCCGGCAGATGCGATCTGACAACAGAAGTGATGCAATAATAGACAATTCAGTTCTTCAAGAACAGCTCAAGCTCCTTTGCGTAAAGCTCCGGCACCTGGAAGAGATGTCCGTGTCCTGCATCAGGATAAAGATGCAGGTGGGCATTTGCGATCTTTTGCTGCAGCACGAAGCTGTTTGAAGTGGGAGACATAATGTCCGTATGGCCGTTCGTCACAAGAACCGGGGCCTTGATGTCTGCCAAACGTTCAAAATTGCGAGTATCGGTGGTGAATTTGAAAATCGCAGCGAGCTGCGCCTGTGCCCCAGTCCCGGTAAGATACGCCTTCCGGGGTTCACCTTCAACGTTGCGCTCATGGATCCGCTTCCACCAGGCATGGCCGAGGGCGAGGCTGGTCTTGGAGGGATAGAAAAAAAGGTTCATCATGTCATCCTCCGTTGGTGGCTGGTCGTTGTTTGCTCCAGCGCTTTCCAAGACCTCCCGCGGTGGCAAAGCCACACCTTCGCCGATTCCTGGTTGAGTGCCCGCCAGGACCAATTTGTTGAAAATTTGAGGGTATTCAAATCCAATATGCTGCACGATGCCACCGCCCATGGAGAAGCCAATGAAATCGGCCTTTGGAATTTCAAGCGCAGCAAGAAGGTTGACAGCTATCGCCGCCATCTCAGGAATGGAGTCTGGCACGCTTCCTTCGCTGTTTCCAATACCAGCACTGTCGTAGACAATCACTTCGCGGCTTTTGGCGATACTGTTAAACAGAAGCGGATCGAGCGTATCCATGCTCCCACGAAGATGGTTGACATAGATCAAAGGCAATTGACTGCTTATCCCGAAGCGCCGGTAAGCGATTTTCAGTCCATTTATTGAGACAAACGAAGTCTGAACGGTTTGAAGGGTCGTCATTGTAGTGTTATATTTGTTAAAGCGCAATCGGAAGTGAAGAGGTTTTTCTGAGTATAGACACAGGCCGAAGGGTCTATGTGACAGGGACAGGTTGTATGTTTTATAGGGCAATTTTTCAACCTCCTGACAGCCCGAGACTACGCTGTGTTCCCGTAACTTGATCAATCTCCTAGGTTGCCACAGGACGGTTGTCGGGTCGGTGGATTGTGAGTTCGGTATCGTCACTAAGGAGGCCCGCATACTAGGCATTGGGATTCCCACTCATCGTTAGCACTGCATCGGCGATTCTATTCCAAGGTTCGGAATCGGGTGGATGAGTGAGTGATTGACAGCTAGTCGCACGCTCGGAGTGTCGACTCATCGTTCCCGACCTAGGGTGACTGCCCGAGGCTCCACTCCTATCAGTAGTTCCCGTGAAACTCAATCGACCAGGCCGTGGACTGCACTCCTGCAATCACCTCGAAGTCCTCACAGTTAAAACTGGCGAGTCAATTCGGGTCCATAAATTTCTGCCCGGTATATGCTGGTTTGTAAGCGTCATGAAATGTAAGAAATCCGCCACTCTCAATAATATGCCGCTGTTGCAGGCGAATCAAGCTCTTTTCTCTTCAATATTCATGCTGAAAATGCAATGACCGTGAACTGACCGCCTGGTGATCATCACTTGCACCCTTTGGCCTGAGTTTCATCAGGCATGTAACCCGTTCAAACAGTCAGCGTTTTCCAGAGAGTAATTATTAAACGCTCTGTTCGCTCGCTACATCAACGTAAGATTATTTTTCGCAACATTCTTCAGACGCACTGCGCAAGACTCCTCCTCCTGCTCAGTACTTGCTTGTCTTGGGGTCCACACTTCCGGTAGACTCTGTCCCCGGACCCCACATGCATTCCCGAACAAGTGCACGTAGATATGGTGCCCCAGCTCTACTCGGTCAAATAAATCCGAATCGGAGCCTCGGCTCAGAAATTCTAAGATCGTAATTCGCAGTAGAGTATCAATATGGAATACTGCTAAAGTTTATAACAATCCCGAGGCCCTTTCTGGGGTTTGACCTTCTATTTGTTAAAGGGTAGTCCGCAATTTCACGCCCATCTATCCTGCGGTATATCTTGTCTTCATTGTATTTGCAAAGAAAATTCACCGATCCCACTATTCTACCATTACTTTCTCGACTCCTATACACCAGATCCAGCAATCTACTGCCTCAGCACCAGACGGACAATATGATGAAAGCATTTCAATTTGCAAATGTTTCCAAAGGACTCGAGCTCAAAGATGTTCGGATTCCGTCCCCAGGAATGGTCAAGTGCTTGTTCAAGTCAAGGCAACAGGTCTGTGTCATACGGATTGCAATGTAATTTCTGGCAAGGATGACATGCTTTTTTGGCAACGACCTATAACACTCGGTCACGAGATCGCTGGCAAGATTGTTACGCTCGGACCAGATGTGACCGAGTTCAGCATTGGTGAAAGGGTTGTTTCTGGCCTTGGCGTGGACCATCCTCTCACATTTCAAGATGTGACCACCTCCCCCGGAATTGGTTATGATGGTGGATATGCAGAATACGCTGTCTTCAATGTCCCGAAAATGTTGCGGATTCCTGACAGCGTGACTTTCGCTCAAGCCGCCGTGGCTACTGACGCCATCGCCACTGCCTATCATGCAGTTGTGGTGGAAGGTCGTGTTTCTTCGTCTTCCACCGTTGCTATAATCGGCCTCGGTGGGCTTGGCCTCTCGGCTGTTAGCCTTGCACGTCTCATGGGAGCAAATGTGTACGGGTTTGATATCGACCCCAAGAAATATGTCTCCGCTCTACAAGCTGGAGCGTTAACGTGCGCTAAAAGCCTGGACAAGTTTTCGGGAATTCGCTTCGATGTGGTGGTGGATTTTGCCGGTGCAGGCGTTACTACCTCTGCAGCCGTGAAGGCCGTGAAGTCTGGTGGGCGAATTATCCTTGTTGGCCTTGCGGCCAAAGAGGCTACGCTATCTACCTATGATTTTGTTGCCCAAGGTGCCCATTTGATAGGATCTGCTGGTTCGTCTGTAGAGGAAGTTAGGAAAGTGCTTGAGCTTATCGCAGCGGGAAAGATTGATCCACTCATTGAGGAAATCCCTTTCGCCGACATTCCGAAGGGGCTCGACAGGCTATCTCACGGTGGCGCACTGGGAAGGTTATATGCTGACCCGAGCAAGGCTTGAATTCCAGTTCCCTTTACCTCGCTAGATATTTACAAGTGGGAGAAGCATATTGTCGAGAAAATGTGGGGTCCTGCATTATATTGACATGGGATTCGCCCATCTGCGTCCCATTTTTCTATTGTGTTTGTAGGTAGGTCGAGACATGGAGTGATAACTTACCACTATGTATGTAAACATGGGTTATACCGAGTGACCCACTTTCCTTTGTGTTTTGTATAGTAATTTGGTATTCTGGGCATTACAGTTGTCGTAACACCTTGTACCTGAGACATCCATGGGGTACTTCAACCTTCCCCATGATATTCGTTCTTTCTTCAATCAATCAACTCAATCATCCTGATTTGGTTCCGTTTGACCTCAACCTCGTCCCTATTCGCCTGAGAGGATTACTAGTCTATACTGTCATAGCTTGCTCCGACAGATTGTACATATTCGCATTTACTATGTTTTTTCGGGTACGCAACGCAAGCGGAAAGTACGTTAACTTGGCGTAATTCCCGGCAACCCTGACCAACCCAAAACACAATTCTAAATGCGATATTTCATGTCACAATATATCAACGAGAAAAGAATTTTATCTAACTTTTAGTATGATATATTTCATAGTATTCAGAATATTGTAGCATAATGAGTTTATTCAGGAAATAATTGAATACCGCTGTAACCGAAAGTACGCTGATCGAGCGACGTGGCTATATATACCTATATTGTTATGGCTTGAAATATTACCCGACCTGATATAAATATCCAATATGATATCTCAAGCACCAAGGTATCTCAAGACTATGATAATCAGTGTTGAATGTTGAAATATGAAGTTGTGAGAAAGCGAATTAAGTTTTGTGACGGTTCTGACATCCAATACCGGGTGTGACGGTTGTGACATTCAATACCGGGAATAACTTCATTCTGCGTGACTGGTGCCTGAAGCTGTTTGGGGTTTGGTAAGTTTATCTGTGTACTTAAACTCTCTCCTTCTGGCTTGCCTTCCTCTTTTCTTCCTCTTTCTCTCTCCAGTCTTGAGACTCTCGTCAAATGGCACAAGTTGATCCCTGATCTCTTTTCCTGGCTGTAACAAGTATGGTGTTTTGGGGTGGCCAGGGTAACCGGGTGGCCGAGGTAGCCGCGAATTACGTTAACTAGTATACGCTCATAGCAGTCTGGTCGGGACGGACAGGCCGAGGCACAATGCAGGACAGCAACCACCAGGAAAGAAGAGGGAGGACCACAAACCCACCGGAGGGCACTGTTCGGTCTTTCGTGCACCAGGGATAGAGAAGATAAAGGCCTGGCTGAGAAGATCGCTTCATCGCGCAGAATCCTATCTCTCTATACTAGTATGCGAACACATGGGAAAATGCGAAATTGAAACCAAAAATTATTGACGAAAAAGAGTGGCTGGAAAAGAGACGGCGGATTGCTTCCCTCTTCGAAGAATGAGTGTAGATGAATGTGTGTCTGTCTTCTTGTCTTCCTCTTCAACGAAGCCCCTCAAGCTCCTCTCTTCGTAGCCGATGTCGTAAAACAGAACAAAAATCAAATCCGACGATGTCGATTCTCGTCCTCTGTGAGGAGTCACAAATTCGGCTATACCAAAAGAACTACTAAACCCAGCCAATCAACCCTCCACTCTAGACCCGTGAGCAGTTCCCCCACTACACTAGTTAATGTAGTTAGCTAGTTACCCGATTGCTTTTATTAGTCAACTTGCCCCATAACTAACTAGTTCACTAAAATCGCCAGATAGGGGATTTATAGCAATTCAGACGGTCTTTTGCGATTCCATTGGTTGAAGCATGTATCCACTAAGCCCCTGGTTGCGACAGAATGTTTGAACGGCATGATTAGTGACTTTTGACCCGAGGCTCGGGATTATCATTCATCAGGACCCGTATTTTCGAGATCATAAGAGGCAATGATGTCATGATTTCGCATTGGGATTCAAATATCTGTTTCAACGGCACCCACCTTTGGTATGATTTCTGGCGGCATCCAGGATCTGCATTCATTGTTCTACGCCTGTGTATCGCTTCTTTCTAACCTCGGAAGATTCGGGACCTCAGTTCCAAAGGTTATCATCGGCCAGGCGGTTTGGAAGTTCCCACTGCTACCTCGGCCCAGGACTAACTGATACCTTGGATTCAGCTAATTATTTACGTGGGCTATGGCAGTACATGTGGTTGTTTCACGAAGCACTGCACAAAAAAAGAGACCGCTAATAATTATGTTAACACTAAAATATACTCCGTGTACGGTCAGAATTTATTATTATTTGAAAGGGGTGCATGTCCCACTTATTTTTCTGCCAGTAGATCAACGATTTCTCTCCAAAAGAATCAAGATCTTTGCCTCGTGTCATACAGCCAGCGATAACAGAACTCAGTAATACACCATAGAATAATAGAGCGAATAAAACGTTATAGCGTCAATACTTGGGTTATTCCACCGTGCAGGGGCAGTGGATGGATAGTATAGGCAGGCGGTATAGAGATAGCGGTATGGGAATGGAAGTATCGTGGTTCCAAATACTAATGAAAGCCCATAGCAGAGGCTCGAAAGCTACAAAACTTACGGTATTTATGCAGCATTTTGGGTCATTCTTACTGGCTAAACCGTATCGATACGCTCCCCTCTGCTCAGATTTGTGACACATCGGATATCACCCTTCCGGTTAGAGGACCGAACACTGAGCGGTTAGAAGGAGGTATTAAAAGGGTCCCACACATGTGTACCTAGTTTGTGCTTCAAGATTCAATGTTGTTGCAATTGCGTCCCTTTCCTGCTTCCCGCTCGCGCTCGCTCTAATAAATCTCCAATTCCCATACCTGGTCTATACGTTGATCTATACTGCACCTAGATTACAATAATTCTGAAGCTTCTCTTCTGGCGCCCCAAACACCCTTTCCCAACAAAAAGGATGACAATGCCGAATACCCACCGAAACAATATTCCCGACAAAACAATCTTTCCCTCACAGGAAGCCATGGCGCCTGAACAAATCGACGCTTCTCTACTGGCGACTCACAAACGAATCGCCAAGCTTGAAGGGCTTCGTGTCGCCCGCGAAAACCTTGCCCGTTTTGAAGCCGAGGTTCTTAATCCTTCCGGAACGACTTCAGTAGTGAATCGACATCATCCCGACGACTCTGAGCCACAAGAGCGTACAAAGGAGATAGAGATCAATAATATCTCTACCTTTACGTCCAGCTTCGATCCGCAGCGCCGCCGGGACTGGCTCGTTGACGTACGTTGCGCTTTCCGGGGGAATCCCCAGAAGTATCAGACTGACGAAACGAAAATTCTGGCGGCTCTAAACTTCCTCGATCATACTTGTCGGCACGAATGGTACCGACACGTTGTGGAAAAATCTCCGGAAGAACGCCAGCACATCGAGAGGTCATGGCCATACTTTGACAAATGGACCCTCACCCTTATCCGGAACGCAACTAGTCTTCAGGCCGATGTAGTGACTGATACCGATCGCACGATGCAAGTGGGACCGGGAGGCGGTCGTTGGAATACCCATTCAACATGACAAGAAATTTCCAGGCCAAAGACTTGTCGCATTTTGCTATTTGGAGTCTGTATCTGAAGATAAGCTCACCGATATGATATAATTAATCTACTCTTTATACCGTTGGAATTGGTTTTTTCGAAAGTCTATATACGAGTATCCTGGTGTGGTGTAACGATCGAAGCTCTCTCGATGCCTGAGCACGTGACGCAGGCAGCCGCTCATGTGTAGATAGTTGCGATGGGAGCTTCTCTCCTTCTTCCCTTCTCTTCTCTCTCAGCTTAATACCTTCGTTCAATACTACTGCTATCTTTCAAAGCATCTGAGTCCTTACATGTGGCAAGTGTTATGATAGTGGTGTATAGGGGTCTTTGTTGATATGAGGGATAGGATCTAGAGGGAAAATGGCGCCAGCTAGCAATTGAGTAATATTAAAGATGTCTAAAAGACTAAATTAACCCCTGATTGGGAGTGTGCTATAGTTATGGCCTGTGCGGAAGAGTTTAAAGTATCTTAGAAGTTGATAGACTATAGAAATATCCCTAGATAGGATGAGGGTTCTCTGTATCGTCGATACCAGGTGCCTCGAAGAAACTGTACGAGAGATGATGACCGGTAAAAGTTGTAAACGATGTGTAGTCGGCTATCGTAAAACAAAGAGAGATAAGGCAAAAGATATATATTTGATATATCAAAAATATAGGAAAGGGAAGGTGGAAGATAAGAGTTATAGAACGTATGTAGAGAGATAGTGGTGTATATATATCACGGGCCCTTTGTTGTTATTTACTTTGTAACGTATGCCTTCCAAATTAACGCTATGCACTGCGTCAAAGGAAGGAACGACAGCCAATAATATTATTATCTCTTCTATTTATTAGAAACCTATAAATACTATGAATTTTTGACAGTTTTTACGATGTACAAAAGCTAAGTACAGTATAGAGTAGTCATAATATTTAGCGCCTATTTAAGATCGCTAATTTAACTAATAAAAATGCTAGAAATTCGCCCTACCGGGTATCTAACTTTCGACACCCGATGTAAATCGATTTGCAACGGGTGTCGAAATCGCGGAACAATAAAGTTCTGAAAGTGGGTCCAGGTCTCTCGACACCCGCTCTGCTGTAACCCGAGCAATCCGGGATTGACCAGGTCAGGGTCAGTGATCAGATCATGGCGCTCAGGGCAGGCTCGGTGAGTAATCAGCTTGATGTTACATAACGTAATTCCCGGCCGTCTCGAACACCCAGCCGTCCCGAACACCCCTAAACACCATAGTAAACGCGATATTTCAGGTCGCTATATATCAACAACAAGAACACAATATTGCTTGATTTTTGGTAGGATAGTTACTGGTAATACATTAACTAGTATGGATTCATCAATAAATAGATTACATTGTTATTTACATATATTACTGAAATACACGCCGACAAGGTGATGCATATTTATATATTAATATTACAGAACCTGAAAATAGTTTTTGACCTGATAAATATACGTAATATGACATATTTAATACTTGAATATCCCATTAACTTATATAGACCCTTGTGGGTTGAAATATCATAATCTGAAATATCGTAATTAGTATGGTGTCTGGGGTGTTCGGGACGGCTGGGTGTTCGAGACGGCCGGGAATTACGTTAACTAATGATCACTGATTAGCTCAGGGCGGTCAGGGGCGTGCTCAATTCTACTCAGTGAGTAAAAGCGGCGCGAGGGTGAGCACTAAAACGGAAAGGGAAAGCCAAGAGTTGCCAGACATTATCCGGTACATATGCCAATCTGCAATTTTCTCGTCCTACAAAGCGTCTTTTGCTTTCGATTCCAAGGGGATCGTTATAAAATCGAGTCCAGCAAAATGCATGACATCGTCTCTTTTGAGCTGCCAACGGTAAGCACACAGCCTGGTGTCATCCAGACATCTCAGTACTCACCAGGAAACAGTGGCTTCACAAAAATGAGGACGCAAAAACAATCCTATCTGGAAGCGCAACGCCGGCCCTTACAATCAAGGACCTAATAGAGCTGTCGACGGATAAACCCCAAACAACGAAAAACCTCTCTCTGGACAAGATCTCTCTAGCTCTGGGCTCAGGAACCGGAAGCGAGGCACTCCGCAGCACAATCGCCACCCTATTCAGCGACAAAATAACAGCCGCCAACATTCTCACAACAAATGGCGCGACAGGAGCAAATTCTCTCATATTCCAGACTCTCCTTAGAGCAGGAGACCACGTCATCTCGATGTATCCGTCCTACACGCAGCTCCTAGACATGCCGCAAGCGATAACCGGCACACAAGTTTCACTCTGGAAACTAAATCTCGATTCAAACCATCAAAACAAAGACCAAGAATCAGCGGCCGCTGCTGATATCGCGGCAGATCTTCTCGACATCAACGCCCTAAAAACCCTCATAAAACCAAACACAAAAATGATCGTCCTCAATAACCCAAACAATCCAACCGGAACCATGCTCTCACTAAATCTCCAACGAGAAATTCTCTCCCTAGCCCATTCCCACGGAATATTCGTCGTTGTAGACGAGATCTTCCGACCCCTCTACCACGGGCCCAAAACCAACCCACTCCCACCCTCCTTCGCGGAAGTAGACTCCTTCGCCGAAGTAGACTCCTTCGACAACGCCATCGTCACAGGCTCCCTGAGTAAAGCGTGGGGTCTGGCCGGTGTACGGGTTGGATGGATCGCAACACGAAGCGAGACTTTCATGCGTGCTGCGCTTAATACGAGGCTATACACGATCAACGCGATAAGTACCCTTGACGAAGTCATTGCGAGTGAGGCGTTGAGTCCGCGGTGCCGACCACAGATTCTGGCAAAGCATTTGGATCTTGCGCGGGTTAATTTGGAGATTTTGGATGGGCTTGTTGATGAATTTTCGCCCGTTGTTAGTATGGTCAGGCCCTTTGCTGGTGCTACGGCATTTTTACGGATTGTGTTTGATGGTGGCCCTGTTGATGATGTGGAGTTTTGTACTGGGCTTAAGGAGGAGACGGGTGTTTTGCTTGCGCCGGGGAGTAAGTGCTTTGGGGTTGATGGGTCTGGTGAGGAGTTGAGGGGATTTGTGAGAATCCATCTTACTGGGTCGTCGGATGTTTTTCGGGGTGCCTTGGGGGCTCTTGGTGGGTATTTGGAAAGGATTCGGGCTAGAGGGTAAAGGCTGGACGGAAGTTTGGTGGTTTCTCTCATTTCATGTTTCTCTTTTCTAAATATGGTGATGTATCGTAATTGAATATCACAGAAGGCCGCGTCTGCATCTACCCCGTGGAAAGTCAACGCTCGACTCGGCGGAATTGTCCTGGAAGTTGTCGGAGAGACGCATTCTTTAAAGCTTAGCACGACAGCAGTCAAGATTGTAAGCAACTGCGGAGTCCCCACTTGTTGTAGGTCTCCTGTAGGTGGGCCTTTTGGGTTGGATGTGATAGAAATAAAATAGAGGTATCATTCAATAATAAAATTAATATCTACACAGAGTCGTCATTAATCATCAGCCTAGATCTCACTCATCTCGAGGCCCTTTTTACTCCGCATCCAGAGGTGCAACAGGTGCCTGGTCATCAACCTGGATTCCACCACGCTTCTTCTCATTGCTATCCCAGAATGGCAACTTCCAGCCACCCTCATGCTCAGGCGTCGCCAGCCACAGGCGCATCAGGTGGCGACGAGGAGTAGGAGGCGCGTGGTCCGTGTAAGAGGTACGTGCGTGAAGGATGTGGGAGTTGGCCAGGAACTGTATGTCGCCGACCTCGAGGATCATGTGGAGGGAGAGGCGGTTGCAGGTTGCCTCGAGCACGGTCAGAGCTTCCTGCTGCTCTGCGGAGAGAGGGGAATGATGCCCGCGTCGGAGAAGCGGGTCAAAGAGCGAACGTAGTAGGGGTCCCACCTAAAAGGTGTTAGTTGTTTTGGATAACTAGTCAACGTAGTTGGCGAGAGGAACATACTTGGTGTAGACACGGCCATTCTCACCACGCTCTAGGTAGACCACGCTGGTTCGGATGTACTCGTCCTCGCCCTTGCTGGTCTCACCCTTACGGTCGAAGTACCAGATAGGCTCAGTGAGGGTCTTCAGGACATCAGGACGCTCGACGGCGAGGGTGTTGTAGACGTGGTGGGAAGCGACGATATCAGACTCGCCGCCCTCGAGGGCTCTGGCGATGCAGAGCAGACCGACGATGTCCGAATCATCGGCGTGGAAGAATTGGCTGGGTTATATCAGCTATTGTCCAATGAAAAGGGATATTTAAATGTGAACTGGGCTAAACCTACCGAGCGTTTGTACGGTAAATGCGCACTTTGTCGATCTGGGTGGAATCCTCGCCTAGGTCCTTGACATGGCCTAGAACATGGCCGCGGCTGTTCTGGCTGACAAAGTAGCCCAGATAGGTACCAAGACCCATGTATGCGACAGCTGATTTGTGGTTTCCCCACTCCTCGACAGGGAACCCCTTGAAAAGGATGAAGCCCTTGCCATTGACGATATCCAGGCGCAGAGTCTCGAGGTAATCTGCCAGATTGGGGAGACGGAAGTTGCTCTGTATAGCCGTTAGCATTCAGTACGGCAACCTCCACCAGTTCATGGCTATGGCTACCTTCGAGATGCCGGTCAAAGGAGTCTTTGAGGTAAGGAAAGCATCAGCTGCGGTGCTGAGCTCGGCAACCTGCTCGGGAGTGAACCTGTGAGTCCACTTCTCTGGGTTCTCACGATAATCCTCAGGCTTCCAGACGGTAGGACCAGAGATCTCGCGAGGGAAGCGATCGAATGGCCGGATGTGCTCGTAGAGAGGGGCATGTTGACCAGTCGTACGCAGGCCATCAGGGAAAATGTCCAGCGGGGCAGCCAGGTTGTGAGGTGCCGTTGGCAGAGCGTCGGTAAGCGCAGGAGCCATGATGAATACCGTTGTTGCTGAAGAGAGGGGGAAAACAAGTATTGAGGAGCTTGAAATTCACGAGAGGGGATTAAATTGTATGAATAGGCCACCAGTAACTATTTATACTGGTTCTTTTGCTCCCGGCCGAGATATATGACCATGTCGTTATTGTTGCTGAGGAATCGAGTGGACAGTATGGCGTGCGAATCCGGCGGGGAACAATCTTATAGGATGGGGCATTTCTGGGCAGAATCGTAAGGGACTGCGGAACATTTGTAAAGAAATGGAGGTTTGGGGTTGTGGCGGTGTTGGCTGATTGGAAGAATTCGGAAGATGGCGCAATTTGCGGGGGTCGATGTTGTGATAACCGCGGCCGATCGCGAACTACAACAGTCTACAGTAGATGGGCATACTAGGTATATTAAATAAAATTACTCGACAAACTCAACGGAGTAGTCTTGAAGCATTGAGGAAATTATTAAAATCTAGAACGGCTCTTGGTAAAATAAAGAGTTTCCAGTTAATAGTTACTAAAGCGAAATAGTAAGTACGGAGTGCCGTTCCGCATACTCCAAATGTAACAGTGGAAGCTTCCGGGTCATCGGCACGAGCTTTCCACCTGGGACATCTGAAAATCGAATCTTGAGCTATCTTCTCAGCCAGGTCTACTCGGCCGATACTATGCTCTACATTTGAGGATTAACAATAGAGTTGGCTGATCCGAGTCTTGCAAAGGGTTGCTTGAACAGGACTCGGAGTTCATATTTCACCACCCCGCCGGCTCCAAGGGCAATATATACTAGTAGCACCAGCCCATCCCATGATGAGAACCCATGATACATGAAAAAATTGCCAAAATATCCATGGATACTTTTAGACTTTATAGAATAGCCTAGTTTATTGTATATTTTTCTTTTTTTAAAAAAAAGCAAAATGGTTTCTAGCAGAAATAACGCTGTAACGAATCACATGTCTTGGTTGCCTTGGCGCCTTAAGGCATCCGTTCCAGTATTCATCTGGATCTACCTTAGTTGCTGCTTCCTTTTTCCTCTCCGTCTTCCTTCGATACACGTTGCCTGATATCACAGTCGTTATACCTTGATCTTCATCGTAACCGAGATCATCACACACCTCACATTGTTACCTATATGTGTCCTTTTGGATCATCTTTCATCTAAGATAAATATCGAAGAAGATATGAAAAACCACAGAAACAAACATCTACTTGTTCAAGATCGAAGATTATTAAGAAATCCAGGAATGCGACCGTAGTGAATATTGATAGTCGCGAGGTACAACTCTTTACCCTGAAATGAAGGAACAGAGTGAAAATAGTTACTAACAGTATGCCTGCGCGACCGTTGACTTAAATGTTGTAAACAGCACAGCGAAACACAGCTAGCTTCCCGCCAACAAAACCTAAACCACAAGCCAAGAACGCCACCAGCTAACTATCTGAATACTAGTCAGTGATACCTAGAGAAGACAAAAAAAGCCAAGAATAGGCGGATATTGACAAAGCCTGTATTAAAATTATACATCGAACATCCATTTTACCTAGGTAGGCACATGTTGCTGTACCAAGCACCTCTAGGATATAAGAAGCTGAATAAAAGAACAGTTGACAGTTAAGCTAGAAGAAAATATTTGTTTTAGGACCATGCCCATGGCTGGTGCGCCCAGCCCTCACATGGTAACCACCTATGGGTGTTTTCGCACTAAATTGCCCCCTCAAATGCGGACTGGAAGCTTTGAGGATCGTATCGAGTTTCTGGCTCACAAAGAGCCTTTGAGATCACGTTGAGGAGATTATCATTGCCGCTGAATACACCGTAGTTCTTCCCTTTCAGAATGCTTGCGACATCATCGGCAGAAGGCCATAGCTGCCCATTTGGCTGGATAAGATTTCTCCAAAGATCGAAACGGTTGTCTTCGTTCTGCAGATCTGTCACAGACATGACCAAAAATGTCATTCCGATCGAGAATGTATCCACTTTGTTGCTGTAAGGACCTCCGTTCGGGTTGCTCCCAGACTTCGTTCCCCAAGAGACAATTTCTAGGTCGAGAATTTTAGTTTCAGGCTTAATGAATGCAATCTAGAGATCACTACTTACCTGGTGCAGCATAGGTTCGGGTACCAACGGTGAATGCACTTGAGCTCGTGGCCTTGATCGCGGTATCAAAATCGATAAGCTTCAGTGTGCTACCATCAAGGAGAAAGTTCTCCGGCTTGAGGTCGCGGTGGATGATGCCTGCACTCTGGACTGCTGATACTGCGTTGAGAATTTGCTTGAATGCGCTATTGACTGAACTTTGATCTGTGAAAGAACCGAAGTTTTGCTCAAGTGAGCTGCCCGAGATGTAAGGCATAATCGCGTTGCCAGCATCACCATCGTTAGAAACGACGGCTCCAAGAGCTCCAAGAATGTTGTCGTTGTTGCCAAGTTCAATCTGTAGGGAGGCTCCATAGAGAATCGCGCTGGTTGACTCGGCGAGTCCTCGTTTGACAGCCACATCCTGCGTTGACTCTACTTCGCCGTTCTTCTTGGTCTGGAGTGTGCCCTTATAAACAGAGACCTCGCCTTTGGCGATTGGCACTTTGTCCCAAGTCGCTACCATTTCTCCGCAACTATCAGTTGCCCAGGTGAGTGTCCTTGTGCTTCGATCGAAGGTTCCCACATCACCGTCAGCGGATTCTTCGCAAAAGTAAGGGTTGTTTTCGAGTTGGTAGTTCCAATCATTGTACAACTTCCAATCTGTCGGTAAACGTTTGGCGAGAATGTGTCGATGGTAAGGAACGGCGGTGCCCGCTGCAAAGAGCAGATGGGTGCTCAGAAGAGCGAGAGAAAATCGGCTGAAAACATTCATCGTCGCTAGTGTACAGGCCCAGTTTGATAATTAGGAAAAAGAATGAGGGATAATCTGGCCTCGGAAAGGGAAGTAAATCCAGGGCACTGTTATCCTTTATTACAGGCACCTACGGAGTACTATATTGGATTTCCATTTAGACCCCGAAACTCGACAAGCTCCAACAAAGTACCCTAAAGGCCCAGTCGGGATCCCACGCTAGCTGAGGGAATAAACCATTATGGTCGTCGCCCCCACTAAGCTGACGGGCTTGCCCCTGTAATCTGTAGAAGGTTTCGGCCCTAAGATTCATTCTCCGCCATTGGCCACTTCAGAGTCTTCAGCCCTGAGACTGATGATCCTTAATGTCATTCATAAACTTAAAGTACGCCCATAGTTGGGGTTCAGGAGCCTCAGGGCTTTCTTGAGACCACCTACTAATTACTTATCAAAGTATCCCTTTGAATCTTCTCTCATCATTTGACGGATGTTTCAACTTCCAACGGCTCTATAGTGCTTAACTAGTACAGTATAAGGGTCCTGGGCTTTTGAGTGCTCCCCTATTCCCCAGGTACACATTGTAAATAAAAGATCGGCTGCGTTTCTAGCCCCCAAAGCACGCTCTGCCAAAGGCAGTGATCGGCGGTTTATTGGTGGCTGAAACGATCTTCAGCTAAAATCTGACAATAAGCGCTGTGGGGGCCTTTCAGAAATGCTCAGCCTCGCCAAAGGATGCTCTAATATCTGTCATCGCAACGAGGCCTGGGCTCCGGCAAGATGAAGCTGTCAGGAACGGCGTCGACAACTTCAATTCTTCATAGGAAAAATATATGATGTTGAAATTCAATCCAAGTACGATGGGCTTGGGCGTGGATCTTGAGAAAGAAGATCTATTCTGATGAGCCAGCGAATATTTCTCATCATGGAAAAGCTTAATACATCCCGTAGGTCCCGTCAAAACCCTAACGGTAAGCCACCAGCGGCAGCAGCCTCGAGCTAATCTGCGGCCCCTGACGAAAGGGGACCCATTCCACTTTACTCCGAACTGGTTTCCCAATCCAGTAGTACCATTCAGATTAACCCCTGGAATTGGCCCCAGAGATGAATACTGCGGAACAAGAAATAACAGGTATAATTGTCCCAGTCTCATCCGCTCTTCCTCCTACCTCCACTCAGTCGTCAACGCTTTCACGCTTTCAATATGGTGTCTAAAAGCGCGGTTCTACTGCTTTTCCACCTCCTAGAGGGGGTCAGCGCAGACTGGACGACAACTATCAAAGCCAACCTCACAGTGGCGAACGGTTTCACCCCCGTTATCGACTTCACCACGGCACCTCCGCCAGGTGCATCAAGTCCGAGTCTCTCATCGACTCCTCCAAGCAGTCTTAGTCGAAAGCAGGCTCACCGGGAACAGTTTACTACAACTATCACGGTACCCGATGGAATGATGCCGGTCATCCACTACAGCACTATTTCGTCGACGCATAGTGCCTCCTCCAACGTTGTACCACCCCCGGACACAGCTTCTCCAGGAAGCACCCAGCCTGCTAGTAAACCTCCTTCAAGTTCAACGCCTTTAAACCGTCCATCCCCGTCCTCTACTCCTGTGATAACTCCGGGAATACCGAGTGTATCAAATCCATCATCTTCTCTTGTTCAAACACCGCGCTCCTCCGCCCCCAGTCAATCGGGTAGATCGAGCTCTAGCGGTGGCCATTCTAGCTCGGCAACCAGCAGCCCTACTATACCAGGCCAGAGCGGTTCTGCCTCAAAGACACCAACAACCGGGCCTGCTTCATCCCCCTCTAAATCTTCCGGGTCATCTTCCTTTCTCCAGAGTGGTTCACCCAGCACGGGTCCTCCAGCACCAGGTGGCTCTTTGACTACTGCGCCACCTTCATCTGGACAAAGTCTATCCACCCCCAAAGCCTCATCGACTCCAGCTTCATCACCAACCGATGGTTCAAACCCATCCCAGGGACCTTCGCTGCAACCCTCGTCGGCTTTTCTTTCTTCTGCCCCCGATATTATCTCGCTTACACCAACCGGTAGCAACTCTGCTGCGCAATCTGCAATCCTTGAGTTTGGCCCCACAGGTCCTCCATCATCGCAGCCCTGGGGAACTCTTACTTCTGTTCCATCAAGTGCCACTACCGGAACAGCAGCAATCTCAGAGGCGACAGACATTGCAATCTTCTTGAAGGGGCTCTATAACAATATTGATCAGCTCAAGACCGACCCTGAAAACTACAAAAAGAATCTCGAAGACGTTGAGAATAAGTCTGAGGATTACCTCTCTAAGATTGGTTATCCCTCAACCAAGTCCCCTTGCTCTGGCTCCGGCTCTCTGAGAAAGAGGTCTCTGTTCGGTGCTATTGGAAACATCGCCTCCAGTGCAGCCAATGTTGCCAAGGGTGCTGTAGATACTGCCAAAGACATTGCAGAGGATGCGCTCAGCTGTATCAAGCCTATTGCTGATAGCATGATCAAGACGATCCCCGATGATGTGTCTAAGTTGACGGATGACATTGAGAACACCATCAAAAAGGGTTCTGAATATCTGGTTGAGATCAGTAACATCGTGACCGACATGGAGAACAAGATCAAGGATGATGAGGAAGATAAATCATCATCTGAATCTGAATCCTCAACATCCTCTTCATCTACTTGCACGTCAAGCACAACTTTCTCGGACTGCACGACGACCACAATCTTGATTTCGACTTTCTCTACCGGAGGAGATGGCTCGACTACACCGTCAACTAGCACATCTAGTACGGTCACTTGTACTACCGAAACTGCCTGCAATGCTTCCCCAACCTCAATGACTGTCACCACCACTGAATATGGTTCCTGCCAACTCAGACAGACAACCAGAATCGTACCTAGCAAGACGAAGGCTCCTTTGTCGGTTCCTTACGTTCCAATCACATCGGGTTCAGTTGGACCGGCATCCCCTGGATCTACTGTGATCGTCTCGACGGCCCCCGCCAGCTCAACAATATCCGAATCAAGCGTTTCGCAAAGCTCCCAGCCCCCGTCCTCATCTCCCGGTACAAGCAACTCTTCGAAAACACCCTCAGCTTCCGCATCAAGCTCATCTCCCTCGAATTCATCTCCCTCGAATACCCCAGGCTCTGGAACAACATCCACTCCTAGCCCGACGACCACTCCTAGCCCGACAACCACTCCCAGCCCGACGATCACTCCTAGTCCGACGACAGAGCCATCGGTTAGCTACTATATGTGTTTGAACAAGGGAGGCCCGGAAGTCACCAGCCCTCATTGTCAATGCTCAACATACACAGAAGGGCAAACATATTGGGCAACGGCCTCCCTTATCTCCGGGGCTTGCTACCAGTACACAAGCTTTCCATCCAAGATCACTCTGACGCCAACTTTCACTCCCACAACAGCAACAGCAACACCCGTGCCTTTTGTCACCACCGAAGCAAATGGCGAAATACTCTCCTATCCGTCCCAAATCTTTACAGATTTTGCCACGGAGGGCGCGGGCACACCCGTGACACTGCAGACTCCTTCTCCAAGCCAGACCAGCAGTAATGACAAAGGTTCAGCCCAATGTCATAGTGTTGACGATGCCTGCGATAGAGCTTCTGAGCAGTATGTAGATGACACGGTCTACTCATCCTATACATCCTACACGGCCAATATAAAAAGCGGCATCATCGTGGCGGCAACTTTTGGCCAAGCCGGATGTGCGGCCATGTTTACTTGCGACAATGACGATTATGGGTTTGGCATGACTGGACGCCAGATCAAGGCTGCGTAAGTCAATACCTTTAGAAACTTGAAACTTTCCGAACTTGCTCTAACAACTTTACTAGCATCGAGTATATGAAAGAAAATGACAGTGTCGATAAATGTGGAACCACATATTTGTCGAACTCTTGTCATATCACTCGCAATTATTGCACCAGCTGCAAGGCCACGCAGTAACAAGGTGTACTAGTATTTGCATTATAATAGAATTTCCGGCATGTTGCCTCCCCTTTAAGATTCTTTATAACCTTGGAAGATATGGTGTTTAGATATTTTGCTTGAGCGATCCACTTTCTCTTCCAGAATTTTCATTTAATATTGAGATATTTGGCACTTTGCCTATTTATTTACGAGCTCGGTCACTTCGTAAAAAATTATTTCGTAGATACCTTAGACCTAACCTATGGGGGTGAATCTAATGGGACCTGTCGGATTCATTTTTGGTCGCCGGTTGGATTTGGTTCCAAAGCCTCGAAGGCGCCAATTCCTTTTAGCATGTTTTTATTTAGCTACTTCATTACCAACCTACTAACTTTTAGATATAGAGCACTAATTTAAACCTAATCATGGCGTAGTCTTAAACCGAGGTGCGACCGCGTAAGGATATGGAAAATCTTGGAAGAGCCACCTGGCAGAGGAAATTTGCTACATAAAGGACCTTTGTATGAACCCTTATAGTTCTGTTCTTGTCTACTACATGGATATACTTGATCTAATTCTCAAATTGTACATTGCTTCATATCAAAACTACAATGCAGACCAGGATCTGGTTTCCTCTTCGGGCTTGTCCTCTCCACCGGATTACTCACAAAAACCCACATCGGGCATTCGAATCCGACCCCACGCCCTATCGGGGACATCCATCAAGAGGATTTTTCGAGCAGAGCTTGACAATATTCTGCACTCACTTGATCTTCGCAGCACCCTGCTACACTTTCATTGATTCATTCACTACACACTGGTATCACCAGTCCTTGATATCAATACCATCGCTACATCCATCTATATCAACAACCAACCTTGCGCATACATCCATACTCCCCGCATATGATATGGCCCCGCACCGCATCCACGTCGCCATTCTAGACGCCGACATCCCCTGTCAATCCGTCTACGCCAAACGAGGCCTCTACAGCTCCCAATTTAAGACCCTCCTCCAAGCCGCCGCAACAAGGCTCAACAAAAATGATACCAGTGACCCCTCATCCCCACTATCCGTGCACGTCACAGCCTTCGACGCAGTGGGCGGATCCCTCCCACCACTTGAATGTCTACGCAGCACGTCGCAAAATGCAGCAGAGCCACCAGCTTCAACTCCACCAACATTCAGCGCCATCGACGCAATCCTAATTACCGGCTCTTCGGCATCGGCCTATGATCCGCACCCGTGGATTAGCTCTCTTGCCACTTTCATTCAAACCGTGTATAAAGATTACCCGCTCGTCAAGATCTTCGGTTCATGCTTCGGTCACCAAATTATTGCTCAGGCTCTTCTCTCTTCACAGCCAGCTGAAGTCGGATTAGGCCTTACTCCGAGTCTTGGGGGTGATGCCAATGCCATTGCCAACAAACAAGCAACAACTCAAACTCAAACTCAACCCTTCCACGTGAAACATTCATCAAAAGGCTTCGAAATGGGCATTCAACCCATAACCCTAAATCCAGAATTCACAGCCCACTTCCCACCCCTCGCACGCGCACACGCATCAAATCCATTCCGCATCCAACTAATCCACGGCGACATTGTTGTCCCCACCTCCACCGAAGACTCGGAGAAAGAAGAAGAAGCAAAACTCCCAGCACCATGGATGAATATCGGATACAGCGCATCCTGCCAAATCCAAGGCCTTTACCTGCCCGGCCGGATCTTGACGTACCAGGGACACTTTGAATTCGATGCTTGGGGGAATGCGGAGCTTATGAGGTATTTTGGAGGGAGGCTTGGGTGGGAGGGGAGTATTGTGGGGGATTATATTGGGTTGATTGAGCGGTCGCTTGTTCCTGGGCGGGATGATGATGATGATTCTAAGGCTGCGGCTGAGGCGGTGGTTCTTTTGTTTGCTGGGTGGGATGGGAATGGTCAAGTTGAAGGTCACGGTGGTGCGACGGGTGGCCCGGGGGTTGTGGAGGTTGATGGGATGTTGACGCCGCCGTTGGAGATGAGTGGTTGATTTACTAGTATTAGTACATAGAGTAGTAGCTCACTGGAATTCAGGTTGGGTCGATGCCTGACTTTCAAGCTCTTATATAGTCTTTTTCTAATTCTTTCTCATGGCGGCATATATAGATCTGATTTCCTGTATAGATTGATTTTCTATTTCCCCCATCTGTTTGCTTACATACTGCTAATCGTAGTTGTACATTAGTTAATTTGTGTTTCCCATTTCAGCACAACAAGGGCTGAACAGAACTGAAACAAATCGCACTGACCAAGTGGTGAGAGACCCCTCGACAGTGGCGACGAGCTGCCTAGCGTGCGTGTTCGCATGCCGCAGGAACAGGTTCGTTAGGGAGGGAGTAAGTATGCGATACACAGTAGCAGTATGCAGTACAGAGAATAGAATCTTCATTCATTTCATACATTTCATACACAGAATGCTAGCTCGTTAGTACCGACTATTGAAGCCGAGTTTACTGACAACTTCTCAATTCCAGGTTGGGTACCACCCAGGGGATAGCTAGGAACCTTTGGCCCTGGCACTCCACCCTCGGGGCCATAGTAAGCTACCAGGCAAGCTACCAGGAATACTTGTACTAGTACTCCGTAACTATAACTAATCACGATAACCTAAGAGGAAACGGCAGGAGATCGCGGGATCAGGTGGGAGTTCAGTTAGCAATTACTGTACTGTACAGATACACATTACCATACGTAAGACGGAGCTCCGGAGTGCAGCTCCACTTGGGGTTTCGGGGCACGGGGGAAATTAGCTGGAGATATGGGGAGATAAGTAGAGTAACTAGTTGACTAGCTGAGGATACACGTAAGGTACACCTTAGTATTACTCGTAGTATCGCCAGTTCCCACCGTGAGTGTACTCGTAATGCAGATTTTTCCACAAACCCCTCCTGCACGGGCGTCCCCATGCGGCATGGCGCCCTTGCCGCAGTCAAAGTGGACGAATGGCAGTGCAGGTATTCGCGAGGTCTGCCCTCCACTTTTAGCGATGGCCAATCAGGCTGCTTTGAGATGACTTCGGCATGTGCGCCGTGCCGATACCGTATGGTACTGGCTAAGGCTTAACTGGTGGAATTGGAATAGTAGAGGGGGAGTAGTCACAAATTCACAGTAAATTATAGCTAGTATTGAAGAATATAATAGTCATAAATAAGAATATTCTATATATACTTATCTAGTCTGTCGATATTACTGCGAGCATAAGGACTACTAGAATGTAACTAGGTCGGCTGCACGGAGTACTGCTGTGCTAACGGAAGCCTCGGCCGGTGCCACTCCGAGCTTGTCCGCTCCGAGTCCTTGAATGCCATTGACTTCAATGCTTTCTTTGCTCCGATCGTACATTCTGCCTGTGCAGCAGGTGGCAAGTGATAACTATACTAGGAGTTATTACTACAGTTATAGCTACGAGTACTTTAGGTAAAAGCATAGCTATAATTATAGCTATGACTAGCCATGGTTCTCATGTGCGCCCCGTATGCCTGTATGGTATGTAATAAATGGTAATATACTAGTACGGTAAGACCATTTGCCACAGCTTCTGGAATCTTTTGAGCTTTTTGACCCGGAGCTGGGGAGAGCTTCGGAGAGCTTTAGAGGGGCCGCTGATAGCGCCTATCTGCTTCCAACGGCGCCTATCGATAACTCTGGTGGTTTCCAGCTTCAAGTTCCACTGCAATGCAACTACATTCAAGCTGCTTTTTGCTACTAGTATATTCTGATATTCTAGGGCGACCGTGACCATGGCCAGCTTTGCACTGGATTTGCCGGTGGAAATACTACAGTACCCAGTACCGAGTCTGGTACTTACTGTATATACTTACAGTACCCTTCCACCAGGGGCGCCCAGCTCAGGTCGACCAGCTGATGCCCTGCATATCGTACGAAGTTATCCCGGACACGGCGCCTCAGCTGAGGCACAGTGCCCACAAGTAGTTCAAATCAAACTAAAACTAAAACTAAAATGTAATAAAATGAACAGTAGAAAGTCAAGAGGATCAGTTTTTTTTCTTTCCTTTTTCCCGACCAAATTCGGGGATACCGGTAATACACTTACACTGACTGGATACCCCCAGCGCACTCTCAGTACTGACTCTCTCTCCTCTCTACTTTCCTACTTTCCTCTACTACGCTGTTCTTCTCTTCTTCCTTTCTTCTTCTCCTCCCCACCAGAGCATGCATGCCAATCCCGGCCTTCAGTTCGTTTCGTAACCTGGTCGAGAGTGCCTGTTCTGATCTTCCTTGTCTTTTTTCCACTCTCTTCCCCCCCCATCCCACCCTCCATCTTCGACCTCGCCTTCGCCTTCGCCCTCTCACCATGCCCCCCCAGAAGCTCGCTGACCAGCTCCTTCTCGGTCACTGATGCCAACAATGAAGTGGTGTGTCCCTTGAAGAACAACGATGGCTCCAATTGTCGCAAGAGATGTCTCGGAGTGAGTATCCCACCTACCTGAGCTATCAGTTCACCAGCACCCACAGCTAGCACAGCTGTCTCTCTGTTCGCCCCTCTCCTCCTCCGGGCGCCCCACCCACAGAGAGAGTATTCCTCTATTCTATCGAGGGCTCCTTCTCACAGATGTGCCGTTCTATATGACTTTTCGATCCCTCGAAGTTCAGCTTTGATCGCAATCTGACCATATGCTGCCCCACAGGAAAAGCGCTATCGCTCCATGCAGGAGCATATCCGACGTGCGCATCCGAACCACTACATCCCGAAGCTCCCGGCTACCGAAGAGAGCTTCCTTCTGATGGTCAACACCCCGCCGGAACAACGGACTCAACTATCACCACCTGAACCTGCTCCACCTCGTCGTCGACATGGTCACCACGGTCATGGTCACGGTCACGGTCAATTTCAAGGTTGGTTTCCCCTTTGTGCTCTGGTGGCTGAACGCTTCTTACCCCGCGACAATCGCTGACGGCTACCCACAGATGTGGCGGATAGGGACATCTACGTCGCCGACGCCAGTTCCCCGGCCACTCCTCGAGCTCTAGATGAACCTCACCCCGCTGCTGCCACCGCTGCTGTCGCTCTCGCTCAATTACACCATCATCGCCTAGCTTCTGACTGGGATACAGACATGGTTCGTCCCGCTTTTCCCCCTTCCCGACAGCTCAAGATATTGACCCCGCGCTTTTTTCCCCCTCCTTAGGATACCCACTCCGATACCGAACTCCATCCAGGCCCGATGCGCTCCTCTATTGAACTCCCATCGCTGCGCGACCACTTCAAGCAGGAGTCCCTCCCACCATTCACGGCGCCCCGCCCACGGGAACTTCTTCCGTCCATTCTCAACCATTCCCCCCCCTGGTCGCTCATCCACGCTTCCTCCAATTCAGCGAAAAGACAAGTTTTCCCGGTCGCGCAAAACCTCGATCTCACAATCGGCACGAAAACCCAAGCACGAACGACCTCGGTCGAAGGAATTCCCTCGGCGACCAAGTCTCAGGTGATCGCAAAGCTCTTTCGGCAGAGCCTCAAACGGCCGCTTGGGCCCAGGGCAAACGCTGGGAGGATTTGATTGAAGCGGCGACTTCTGCGACCGAGGCTGATGATGAGAGATACTCCGAGGTAAGCTTTTTCTCATCCCCGTTAGCAACATTGCCTGGCTCTAGATTCTAAACTCGTCTCCCCCAGGCCGGTCGATCGCCTACGATCGCTCCACTTCTTGCCAATGTGACATCAGCACCTGGAGCCAAGAATCGGTCTTCACTACCCCCAGCTTTCCAATCGGGACCCGGACTCCCCCCCACTGAGCTCGCACCGACAATTCCCGCCTCATTCTTATGCTGCATCGCCTTTGCACAAGTCACTTACCCCGCCACCATTTGAAGGCCACCGCGGCCGAGATAGTGACCTTGAACCATTCCCATCCATCGAATCTTCACTTGATTCGATGTCCACAGCATCTGGAAAAAACTTCCCGTCATCCGCATCAGGTCCAGCCCACTCCGTCAATTCTGATTCAAGCCCAGTCTTGAATCTCATTCCGCCAGTTTCTCAACGCCAGCACCACCGCTTTTCCAACCCAACGCCAGCCTCTTTCCGCAGTAAAGAAATCCAAATTTATTGCGCCCAGTGCAAACGCCCTTGGGCGCTGAATGAATGCTTCGCCTGTACAAATTGTATCTGTGGAGTCTGCCGCGAGTGCGTTGGCATGTTCATCACAAGTCCACCCACCTCCTTCCGAAGTCCAGGAAATGGCCCACTCAACAACATGCCGCCTGGTCCAACGAGCTATCCGACTCCGAGTGCTGCCCGGGGATGCCCGCGATGTCGGACAGTAGGTGGGCAGTGGAAAGCTTTCCAGCTAGACATTAAATGATACGATGCACCATGTCAGCAGACGCCTCACGCTCAAGAGGGCCTACGGATTTTATGACTCACGCCTGATACACGTTCTTTTTTCTTCCCTCTTCACTTTATATTCACCATTCACGTTGCAATATGGCAAGATCGCCACAGCCTCGGCGTCCACAGTACAATTTCTCTCACGCCACGCAGTTTATAATTTATCATCGGTGCAGGTTACCGAACAAAAACCACAAAAAAAAGCTGGTCTTTTTTGGTCTTGGTCTTTTATTTTGGTTCATTGATTCATTGTTCATTGGTTATTTTTGGTTTTTTCCCCTGGTGGCATCCTGGACGGCTGGGTTTTTTCTTCTTGTTCTTTTCTTCTTTCTTTTTCGTGTATATGCTTTCTGGACCATGACTTATGCGCTGATTCCTGACTTACATGCCTCATACGAAATGCAAGCTTGTACTGCACTGCAATGAGTTACATTTGGTTATTTGGTTATATCGTTTATAGAAAGAGGATGGTCGCAGACATGGACAACAACCGATCCGCGATAGTCGCACCATCTTCGCAATGACATTCAATTTACATTCATTCAACCTATCCTTGACCTCTCCTTGACCTCACCTTCTTTACAAGTTTATCCACCCTACTCCTCCCAAATAACACTACTCAACCCCTCTGCCTGTCCAACCTTCCCAGGCTCCCCAACCTGCAAAACAGCAACCTTCTCCCCAAGCTCCCCCGAAACCCGATCCCGACGCACAATCGCCACATTGGCAGATGCCTGATTCCCAATCGCAACAAGATCCCCAGCCCGATTAACCGCAAAAGTCCGCGGAACTTTCCCCCAAGCATCACTCTTCCCGGACACCCTCACATCCCCATTCTTCGCAGACCGATCAAGCGTGACCATCGAATCACTCGGCGCAAAACCTTGATCACTCCGAACAGACACGTAGAATTTATCTCCGACCAGTCGAATTTCAGCCGGCGTCGCGCCGGTGGGCAGTTTGTGGTCCTTTTGTCCGGCCGCTGGGTAGGGCACTAATGTCTGTGTGCGCTGGAGATCCAGACATCCACTCCGCGCATACGAGACGTCGAAAACCATCATCGTGCCACCGATTTCGTTAACGAGGTACATCATTGTTTTGCCGACGGCGGCCATTTCTCGCTGGTGGCTGACGCCGCTGCCGTCGTTGGTGGTGCGGTTATTGTCCGTTCCATCGGTCCAGAATAGACCGTGGCGAGGACCGCTGCCGAATGTTACGTTTACTGGTGGGCAGGTGTCGAGTTTGCCGGTTGTTGAGGATATGCTATAGATTCGGAGAAGGTCGGCGCCTAGATCTGGGCTTACGATGAATGAGCCTGTTGGGTCGAGGAAGACGCTGTGTGGGTGTGGTGAGTCTTGTTGGGCGACGGCGCCGGGGTGCGTGAGCTTGAAGTGGAATTCTTGCGATGCCTTGCTTGATGGGGTTAGGGGGAGTTTGAAGGTGCTCACGGCTGAGCCTTCGCTGGGGGGTTGTTAGTTTTGTTTTGTTTCGATGCTTGTTTGTGGCTATAGCTATACTCTTTGATATCAAGGGTAGGGGGAAAGGGAAAGGGAAACATACTAATGCGCAATAGCAATGAACTTCTCCTTGCCCGCCTCATAAATAACACTATCAACACCACCACCGACCGTCTCGACGGAAGAAATCTGATGTAGTTTACCATCTCGGTCTGGGTGGTATGCTGTGAGAGAGCCGTGCGTCGAAGGGTCAGCGGTACCGTCTTCGTCGGAGCAGTAGACGATTCGAGACTCAGTGTCGAAGGTCAGCCAGCTTGGCATCTTTCCGCATGTCTTTTGCGTGTCTGTTATTGAGAGATTGTTGGTGGTCTTGTCCAGGGCGAGTGTATAGACATTGCCGTTGTAGTGCGTTGCCCAGAGGCGAGATGGTAGTGCTGTTGGTTTTGCAGCGGTGCCTGTTATGGGGAGGGATATTGAGAGGAGTGGGAGGAGGGTTGTTAAACGCATGTTGGGTGGTTGGAGATGTTACTCCTTGTGTGAACAGGGTGAGTATAGGATATGATAGGTATTATCAACTGGGTTCAATTGGGAGTTCTGGGGAAATGGATGTATGATATACGCGACACGCGAGTGGGATGATCAACAACAGCCCTCGGAAGAAGGAACATCGCGCATAATGTATGGAGCGCGTGCCGGGGGAATTGGAATGGATCGACAGGTGGTCTTGCTTGTTGTTTGGCATTGCAGTGGAGCCGGTGGGGACAATGAAGGGGGGGGTTGGGTGGGAGTCAAGGGGGGGATTGGGGGACTTGTTTTGGCAGCGTTGTATTTTGGCGTGGGGGTTGGGTTGAGGGGTTGGTGGGATCGACTGGAGATGTCTCTTCAATGGGTTAGGTCTTCGTCAGTATCGGCAGAGTCGGCAGATGCTAGACGTAAAGAAGATGTTTCTTCCGGGGATATTGTGGGGTTGGAGTTTAAGCTGGCGATGATACCTTGGAGACCGTGACATTTATCTGATGTGTCCAGAGTACAGCGCAGTGCAGTGCTACTGTCGATCACCCTTCTTTTAATTTGATTTGAGTCTGTGCAGTCTAGCTTGCTTTCGTTTGGCTAATTGGTCGGGGGTAAAACGCTGATTATACCTGCATCTGGAGAAGTAATTTGGTGGCGGTGTACAGAGTATGGTGTTGCTACTTTGGGAGGTACGTCGGTGAATGAGAGGCGTTTAGGCAGATGGAAAGCATTCTTTCACTTTGCCCTACCACCCATCAGCCATTAAGCCTCATTCTCATGATTGGAAGTGGTTGGAAGCGCTGTTGTGGGGATCATGCAGGAATCAAGTACAGCCCTGCAGAATATGACCCTAAAAATAAATACTCACCAGTCTCACTGTCATACGTCGCTTTTAACACCCATAGCCTTGCAAAACGCCAATGCTGAAACATCTCAACCCTTAGAGGTGTTTTCTTTTTCTATCAGGAGATAGGTCATACGGTGGTAGCCAGCAGGCCCTGAATCATAAAGCTCAATCACAACTTGAACTAGAATCTATTCAATATACCACCGGATAAATGCTTTTATATACAGTCTAATGCTCAAACCAAGGTGATCCCTGTGTAGCATCCATTATTGCGAATCAAGTCAACCTTCAACCCAGCATCCAACGAAACCGAATACAAGCTGCCACCCAGATCCGCAACGTACACAATGTCATGCACTTTATCCAGCTTCAACCCAACCGGCTCAGGGAAATGCCGCGCCACAATCACTTTCTGGAGAAAATCAATATTCTCTCCTCCCACGTAAGAACAATACAGCGCACAGCCCAGGGGGTGTTCGCCCCAGCCCGTCCAGTATAGAGTCTGCGTCTCACTATCGATCTCAATATCGACAGGTTCTGGTAAATCTTCCCACATCATTTGGATATCTGAGCGATTCTCTGCCGTCTCTCCAGGTGGAATGTCAAGTCCAGCGCGAAAAATTCGGCCCCGGCCAGCCTTGCTGGGACCCTTTTGTGTCCAATACATCACGGCGTTTTCATAGTCGATCGCAATGCCAACACACTACTACCGCATCTGCTCAAGCAGCGACGCGTCTTTGCCCACGTGCCGCTGCACGAGGATCTCGTGGTTGCTTCCGTCGAATTTACAACGGTGCACGCTAGTGCCCTCCCGGTCACAGAAGTATACCTCCTGCCGAGCGTCAAGCGCTGCGATCTGCTTCGGCGTATGCACTTTTCCCTGTGGTATAAGGCAGCTAATATCGCTTCCATCGAGATTCGCCGACCAGACAATTCCATCTTTAGCGGCAGTGCTACGGCCCATATTTGTCTAGAAGATTCGTTGTGTGCTGAGAGAGACGTCGATTCCATCGGGCAGATTTTGCTCAACCATAACAGGAGTCAATCTCTGCGTTGCCAGGTTCCAAAGCAATATCTTTCCATTGTGATGAACTTGAGACACGTCCCTTGAGTTGGAGCTGAGGCCCACGTCCAAGACATAGATATCCTTAGCCGCAGATTGTGGATTCGATGGTGTCGTCTTATGTGTTGCGGTCCGCGTGAGTGGTGGGTATAGGTCGCCTTTCTCACTCTTTCGTCCCAGTCTACCTTGGTCGATGTATTCTTTCCGTAGCCAGTCAATTCCGTTGCTATCCAAGCCGCGCTCGTTTGCATAGGTCTCCTCGATAAAGGGGACCGTGTCAAGACCAACCTGATCCATGAGCTGGCAGAGCAACGGTCCGGTTTTGAACATGTGTTCCCAGAGTAGATCGATTTCGCTGGGGTCGCTGACGCCTTCGGGGAGGATTTGGACAATTTCGCGTTTGATGGCTGCCCAGAGCCGGTTGAAGACGAATCTATCAAAAAAGCTCCATTGCACTCATAGTATGGAAATTTTCGCATTGATCTATAATCTGTTTTGATTGACACCATCATAAGATACGCAAACTGAGCTCGGGCGATTCGACTTGCTGCCAGGGCATACTATTTACTAAGTGTAAAAAAAGAACGGGCTAATTGACGACAGCCAGATGAGCTATTTTGAAAAAAAAAAAAGTTCAAAAAACTTATTCCACTGATCTCTGTCAAAATACCAGTCAGCTAAAGATCCACTGAGTGGTATTTGGCAGAGGAAAGAAAGTCCGGCTTCCAAGGTCGGCTCGGAAATGGGACGAAGACGAAGCGTGTGTTCGGGCGAGCCTTGCGGACAAACTTCCCGAAGGTCCGCGGCTGGTTGAGAGATTCAACGTATGATTCTTTGCAAACATGGCTGTCTCTATTATTTATAAAGTTGTGCATAGGGCGCAAGGATTGTTCATTCAGCCATTTGGCTTATTATGAAATGCATTTGGAATCAAACTTCAGAGCTAAAGTACACTGGTGGGAAAATCCCTTTCTCGAATTGAACTTCCGAGTCCAGCTAACGTTCATTCATCACAGCATCGACTTTCATCTGATGAGTCGATGCTCCTATTAAATCTATCGCAGTCCACACTTTTTTCTATCCATATCCTTCCTGCCTTTTGGGTAAAAGTAAAAGCCTTCGCGGCACATGCTCAAAAAAAAGTATTAGAAAAAAACGCGATCGCTATCAAACACACAAGTAATGTTCGTCAAATCCACAGTCCGAAGCCTATTGACTTAGTCGATATACTTGGGGAGAGATTTGATGACGCCATCGCGCGCGATGTCCTCCAAGGCGATGGTCAGAGTCTCCACGAAGCGCTTGTCGCCACGCAGATCGTCACCGAACAGGCTCTTGATGCTGAGCACACCATTGGGGTCACCAGGCTTAGCAAGAACGCGGAGCTCATCGAGCATAGCATCCTGAACCTCGAACTTGTTGCCATTGTCATCGACACCGTGGATGTAGTGGAACCAGGTGGCGGCGGTGAAACACAGACGACGGAAGGGACCGGTCACCCAGATAGCCTCGGCGATAGTGGGCATAATGAACTGGGGAATCTTGCCGGTACCACCACCACAGATGCGGGGAAGCTGATCGCGGATCGGGGGGGTTGGCGAAGCGCTCAATGAGGGTCTCGCAGTATTTGTTGACGTCGTGACCCTCGATGTCGGGGAGTGTGTGCTTCACTTCTTGCTGCATCTGATTCCAAACGAACTTGGCGAACAGGGGGTTCTCCATCACTTCGTGGACATATTTGTATCCTGCTAATTGGCCACCGTAGGCAATAATGGCGTGGCTACCGTTGAGCAAACGGAGCTTGTGCTTCTCGAACTCCTCGACATTTTGAACGTTCTTGACAATCTGAACTCCGACCTTCTCGAAGGGAGGGCGACCGTCACAGAAGTGATCTTCGATAACCCACTGCATGAAGGGCTCGGTGACAATAGGCCAGGCATCATCAATGCCGAACTGCTCGGCGAGGGAAACCTTATCGGCGGGGGCTGTGGAGGGAGTAATACGGTCGACCATGGCATTGGGGAAGTGGCCCTTGGTGTTGATCCAGTCTGCAAGGGAAGGATCGATAATGCGGGAGAAGGAGGTAAGCATGTTGCGAGTAATAGCACCGTTACCCTGCATGTTGTCGCAAGACATAACAGTGAATGGGTTCAGGCCTTGCTCGCGACGGCGGGCCATGGCGTGGTGAAGGAAACCGAAGGTGGTGATGGGGAGGTTTTTGGTATCAAGATCATGTTGGATATCGGGGTTCTCGACCTGCAATTGATGTGTGTTTTCGTTGTAGAAGTAGCCGCTCTCAGTGATGGTAAGAGAGACAATGTGGGTATCGGGGTGAGCCATCTTCGCAATAACAGCCTCACGGTCATCAGGAGCAAAGAGGTATGAGTTAATGCCACCCATGACCTTGGCGACACTGCCAGTCGCGGAACGCTCCTCGACGGTGTAGAGGCAGTCCTGGGAGTTGAGGGCATCGCGCATGCCAGCATCGAACGGTTGCAAGCCAACACCGCAAATTGCGTAGTCAGTCAAGCCATGGTGCTCCATCAACTGGTTGATGTAGACAGCCAAATGGGCACGGTGGAAACCACCCACGCCGACGTGGACGATTCCCTCCTTGACAGCATCACCGCGCTTGAATGTGGGGATCTCAATGGAGGGGTTGGCGGCCTTGATTTGGGCCAGGTTCTTGGAGTTGAGCTTCACGGCACCCATTGTGAGATGATTGGGAGGGATTGAGGTGAATGAGAAGGAGAACGGATGATGAAAGAGATAAAAAAATTGGGATGGGTAGCTATTATTTAATAGCAAACGCAAGCAGCCCTACTACAAAAAAGTCACCGCCACTCGCCGGCTTTGGGCAAAATCGGAGATGTGGGGGGGACCACGGGGTAGAAACCAATGAAACCCGCACGATTGTGGATCAGGCGGATCTGTCGCGTCACGCGGAAATTTCTAAAATTCTAATATTAGTCGGCAGGGGGGGGGGAAGGGATCCCGGTTCCGGATTCAAGGTCTACAGTACATACTTCAACTGGATGCAAGCGAGAACTTGAAATATGCATGTTAGCGGCAAAAGAAATTCTGGTCATCTGCGATTGAAAGGTTCTCTTTTAGTTCTAGATCCCTGTATGAATCTGAGCGCTAAGAAAATTTCTTGCAATGGAGGGGCAAAGGCAAAGGCAAAGACGGGGGCGAGTTGGAGGTTGATCGGCCCGATCTAACCTATAACGGAGATCCCGGAGATCCCGCATCCACATACGTACTGAGTAGCTCTTGATGCCGGAAGAACGAGGCCGATTACGCCACACTACAAGACCGGGCTAGACTATTCAATATTGAACCCCATGACCCCCATGACCAAGCGCTAGGATAACAAACTACCCTTCCAGGAGTTCTTGTTTTTGTCCTGGAAGGCGAAAAGACCCCTGTTTAAATCTGTCATTTCAGTGTCCATCGGTCGGCTATTCGATGCCGATCAAAGAACATTCCTTTCATGGTAATTCCGAAGCTACTGTGGATACAGCGGATACACCGGGGTGGATGAAAATCCACAGTATGACCTCCACGTCTGAGCCCATCAGACCCTGCGTGGCAACCGCGATAGGAAAACCCCGCCCGCGAGAACTGTCATATCTACGTGTTCTTTATTGACATCCAATGATTGAATAAACACATTAGCAATTGGGGTCAAGAAAGTTCAGTGGGGTAGTGCGTTGTTCGTCATCTTCGACAGAAAAAAAAACTCAGACTAGTATGCTTGAGCTTATTCGAAATTGCATGCGTCGCTTTCATCCCCATGTTAGCACTGTCGTCTGTCCTCGGAAGGACCCCGGTCTACAGCCGCACCAAACAAAATTGTGCTTTTTTCCACTTCATTGATCATATGAGAGAAAGGCTCTCATAGGGGCGTCATACTATTCTCTTCCACCGAGCCAGGGTCAAAGTCTTCCCCGCAATATCCGAGTCCGTAAATTTATGCTCGTCATCCTAGACCTCCGCGGCTTTTGAAAGAATAGACAGGACCTAGAATTCGTTGGATCTCTATTGAGAAAGGTCTTCCAATGGGTGTCGCGGTAGACGTCCTCCCATGATTGTTGGTGATCTAAAGAGGAACAGCTCGATGACCATCTGATATTGCAAACTCCCCACTAAAGTATAGATCAGGTTAGTATACCTCGGCTTCGAATCGTCTTCCAGATAAGCCTAATGAGTTATGAAATGAGCGCGATTGCCGCTTTCCAGTCATCAAATCGATATACTTCAAGTACGAAATCCTGTACCGTGTTGCTTCTTTCGGTCAATGGATTTCTTTTGTTCCACAATATTCCATATCCCAGGGGCTTGGTCATTTGACCTCCTGGGTAAGCCTCCACCACCGGATGAAAAGGGCGATGCATCTTTTCTTTGGGATCGGTGTGAAAGGGCGGAATGAAGCTGACAGTATGTGGCTGCGCTCAGGGGCTCAGGGGTCAATTTCAAATGGTTTGGTGGTCCAAAACATCGCTTGTGTCGGCAAGCCCAACAACAACCGCGTAAGCGTCATGTGAGACAACTTCTTTCTGACTCAGGGGGAATTCTTGAACTCGTGCGTTTTTTGAACTTTTGACAAATATAATCCGGTCATCTCGGATTGCGTGGTGCGTACAGAGTGGAGTGGTGGCTGAGCTCCTGCTGACCTCGGGAGCAATTAAATTAGGGGGCACCTGGCTTGCCTCATCTGAGTAATACTAAACGTACGATCCGAATGTATTCCCGAGAGGTGAACCGAGGCCATATCAACACCAGTTCCAATGGAAAAGTCCAAAGAGATGTTATTTCAGCGGATCTTTTGTAATTCCATGTTTGAGAATAGCTAGTCTGCAAAAAGATGGCTCTGTTTAGATCAATCCCAACCACTTGGACCAAAATCAGACTTCAGGTAAGATTCCAATATTATCTTCCATGTCTGTAGTATGTTACGCCATATCCGGCTTTGCAGAAGAATTTGGATAAATACAATTCCTAAACTGTCACTCCTGCAATTCAATAGTCATATGGCCGTAAGTGTTTTATAGTGATGCCAGTCGAATATTGCCTATGGGCAGGTTCTCTTGGTTATTACATTAGGTATGCAGTTCCTTGCGTTAGATTAATACTATTCGTGGCCCGAGAACAACCTTCCTGGCCGCACATTTGGTCTTCGCTGGAATCAACCATAATAACCTTGGAAGAAGCACGGACCGAGGAACAGGCAAGATACTTGCAGATCTACTTGCACACCATTGGCCCACATCCTTCTCGAACGAACTTCGTCCGTGCATCGGGCGGAGTCTTTGGCATCCGAGTGGGCAATTAAGCATTTTCCCTAGCTATGCAAGTCATGGAGGTTATTGACAGTACGAATAGATTCCAATCATTTAACAGCAATGTCATAATAACCTCAACGCCCATGGTCTCCCATGATCTCGGCCTTACCTTGCCCTACCTCAACAAAAGCCAAGATACTTTCGTTGGTGTTTTTAGTCAAAGAGATTATACACAAGCTAGCAAGGGAGGCTGAATACTTTGAATAATAAGCTAATTAATAACTCGGCATATTTTTATACCAGTACGTAGAGTAACTAACCTAAGATTGAGTTAGGAGTTGACCAATAGGAATATTGAACGTCTACAGGTTATGGTTATAGCAAGTTTACATTCTGAGTAAAGCTTGACGATATAGTAAGTTATATTAGAGATTAGGAAATAGCGTAGAGCAGCACCTAGCTATAGTTCAGCTATACTACAGTGGATAGGTGCTATGATAATCAGTTGGCATTGACCAGTAATAACCTCCCAGTACTCTGGGTCATAAGCATCAAGGGCAATCTGGAGGGATTCCTTCCAAATAAAGAAGTTTCGTTTGCCCTTTAAAGTCAGCATTGCCTCCGTAAGGAGGACCAGCTCTATAAAGTACATCAAGCCTAGATATAATATTAGTTTAATCGGCTAAGAAGATTGTGCGCAAGCTGGTGAGGGGAGTCGAACACATTGAATACCCCAAATCGGGGTTAGGGATATTTGGGGCGAATGTCAATACAGTTTAGATAGACTTGGAGTATAAGCGTGGTCGGAGTAGGGGTAGAGAAATGCTGTAAAGATGAATAACCGTTAGAACTTTATGTTTAGAGCTTCTCCAAGTTAGAGGTACACAAGAGGTCTCACTATCTGGGTGTGGGGTAGGGTACTTGTTGGGAAATAAGAGGGAAGTAAGAAGGAAGCGTAGTGAGTTGAACTGAATATTCGGAGATAGCCCCGGAGTATAGGTTAGACTGTATAGATGGCTGACACAGTTGGTGGGTACAAAGGGCTCAATGGATGGTTCAAATTGAGAACTTCATTCGTGCAAATGGGATATATCCGCTAGGAGACTCAGCACAGGCACTTCCACTTTCAAAACGCCCGTTAGATAGCACCTATAAGTTTGCAAACGGGAGCAGTATATTACTAGTAAAGCAGTAGTATACTATAATTGTTTCCATCCAGCAAACAGTTAGGATATAGAAGTGGAATAGTAACCTTGGAAGACAGTTAAAAAGTGCGCGATGGATGACGACAGAACGGAGGCAAACGCCAAGATCTTCAGTAGCAAACATCTTGAACAAAAGGTAGTTAGTGACCAACCAAAACAGTTGTGAACAACCTTACAAAGATATACTCCCTAGTAGATGGCTGGAATTACACTCTAGTAAAAACTTTGAGCCTTTGGCTGCGGAAATAGTACTTTACTGGCCTTACATCGTTCATGAGAAGGGATGCAGAATTGGATCAACCAAAGGAAAAATTATGTATGAACAAATCTAAAATACTTTCATGGGTACAGAGGGCGCCAAGTGATCGGCTCAATATCACACATTTGAAAAAAGGGGCGCCAGGAAGGCTAAAAAATAACAAGAAATAATAGAGTTTAAAAAACCCCAGGCTTAAAGCATGATCATGAAAAGACCAGTGCCGATAGCAGCGAGGGTGTAAGCACCGAGCTGCCAAGCACCGACGTGCACAGCCTGGGGCTGGTTCATGCCAGCGGCAATACCGGAAGAGGTGGCAGAGGAACCGCCGCCGCCGCCGTTAGAACCACCATCGGCAGCACCGCTGGAGGCAGCCAGACCGGCGTTGATGGTGTTGGAACCAGCGGCACCAATGGAGCTCATCTGGGTAACGCAGGAGCCGGATGCAGACGTGGCGGCCTTGGAGGTACCCTTGCCTTGGAAGCCACAGGCGGAGGCACCACCGTTCTTCTTGGCGTAGCGGTCCATGGCCCAGGCGACACGCTGCTTAGCGTTACACATAGAGTAAGCGCCGTACACACCCTCGGTACCGTTAGAGTAAACACCGCTGACGGCATCGATCTTGCCCTTAGCCTTCAGACCGTAAAGGTAGTCGTAGACTTCCTTGATCTTCTTATCGGAAAGGCCATCCACAGGCATGCACTCGAGGGAGTCGTACATGCACTCGCACAGGTCAGAGTTGGGCGAGGGAGGAAGCTTGCTGTTGGCCATCCAGTCGGAGCCGGTGGTAGGGCAAGAGCGGCCAACGGTGGTGGTGACCTTATAGTCGGCGCTGTTGACACCAGTGGCGGTGACCTTTTGCATTTGCGAGGAGAGGTTGTCGAAGTCCTGCTTCTTGGAGACGGAGCTGCCCGAGGTGGAGACGAGACCGTAGTGGTTGCCAACCTCGAAGTACATGTAGACGAT